AAACAACATTCACCTCCTGCGAGCTCAGAAGAGTTTCCTGCGAAAGAATAAAAATAAATTTCTTTGGTTCCCCACGCGCACGGCTCAACGAGGGCCCTGCCCTACGGCACGGCGAAGCGAATTTGCACGGAAAACCAGCAGCTAGGCAAACAAGCGGGAGCTGATCTGGGAAGAACTAAAAGTAGAAACTGTTTCAGAAATGTTTTTCAGGCAAGTTTTAGTTTTACTTTTGTTTACGAAACGCTTCGAACGTTACAGTAAAAGACGCTTACGAAACGCTTTAGCTCTACGGGCAAACGGCAGCGCGCGGAGCGGTCGGAGCCAGCGCTCCGGGCACGGCCTCCAGCTGCTGGAGGCGACGGACCACCTCGGCTGCACATCCTCCTGACCTCAGTCCTCTTCTTGAGAGGGACACACAGACCTGTGCGATGCTCAGGCGGGCTTGGGGCTGGGAGAGGACGCAGGGAGTGCGGGCTGGAGAGGTGCGTGTCGCAGCCGGCTGGCTGCAGAGCCAACCTCTGTCTCCACTTTCCTCCCTCAACTCGGTGGCATCCGAAGCTGAATGGAGCCAAGTTTTCCGGAGAAGCTGTGAGTTGCAGCTACGCTTTACAGAGGCATCTAAGCCATCTAGCAAAGGGTATCCGAAACAGAAGGTACCTTGGAATTGAATCCAACTATCAGAAATGCAGCACGTGTACAATCACTCCCCGAATCCTACTGGCCACACTATTTCTGATACAAGCCAGGATGCTGTTGGCCTTCCTGGCCACCTGGGCACACTGCTGGCTCGTCTTCAGCTGGCTATCGACCGACACCCCCAGGTCCTTTTTAAAAAGAATTTAGTCACATCAAAATTAAACTTGTGGCTGACCGATGTGCTTGGCTCCTGTGTGTGCTTACTAAGACCAAGACCAGAAGTGGCTCGTGTCTTGGGAAACAGAAGAGCCACTTCCCACGCGAGGGTTCAAGCCACTGATCCTCCTCCTGAAACGGCTACACTTTGCAAAAATACCTCGATGTTGGGAAGATCAGGAGCTGAAATGTCATTGCTCCTCTCCAACAAGCATCCCAGCTACTTGTCAAACAGCACGGCGCCTGACTCTGACTCCAGCCATCCTTTGTACAATGTGAAATACCTTCATCAGGAGCGACTCAAGCCGTGATGTCCCAGGCTAGGCTGCTGCCCCAGGATCAGCAGGAGAGGTGGGAAAGCAGAGGGCAAAGCCCACACATCACAATGGCTAGAGAGGCGCTCTGCAGGAAGGCCAGCTGAAAGAGACCTTGCTGTCTCTGAGAGCAACTCTCCTTGCAACCATCTCTGCCCCGGCCGGCACCTGCCCGCTCCTCCTCCCCTGCTTACCTGGCTCCGGCCCTTGTCAGACCTCCGCACCCACCGGGGCAACTCACTGAGTGTGCGGGGTGGGGTGGGGGGATGTGTGTTTTCTCCTTAATTAGCTTCATCGAGGGCTCCAGCGAGCGCTGCTGCCAGCACAGGGGCTGGACGAGTGCTATGGGGCTGGAAGGGAGGGCTAAGGCGGTGCAGAGGAGGAGGAAGAGGAGGAGGAGCAAGCCTCCCCCTTGTCAGCAGCACTCAAGCCTTCTTTACTGCTCCTGGGACCGCACCTCTAGAAAGATGGGCCAGACAGGAACCCCGACCCTGCACAGAAGGCAAGTGCCCCACCTCAAAGATGAGGAGTGCAACAGGGAGCAAAGGAACAGTTTGTCCATCTTTTTTCAGGTTTTTTTTTTGGTTTTTGGTTTTTTGGTTTTTTTTAATGGTTTCTTTCCCATTTAGCTCTCTAACCCTCTCAGATGAAAGTGTTTCTTCATGGAAACTTGTTAAAGCATATCCAAACTGCCATCCCCCACTTCTTCCTTTTTTTTAGTTTTCTTTGTCCTCCTTTTAATCACAGAGATCTATTTACAAATTAGGATTGATTTCAACAGTGTCAGCTAACCAGAAATGACAGGTTTTTTGGCAAAAACCCACTTGCTGGGGGAAAAAAAATTGCCCAACTCTGACAGCAACTCACATACTGCAATGGGTTTTCACACCTCCTAATGCTTCTACCTCCTGCCTCAGCACTCTATACATATACCATTAACCCACATGGGGTTGCCCTAAATAAACACTTTTCAATTCTCCTGCCTTCTCTGTTGTTCATTCCTCAAATATCCATGCCATCTTAAAATGATGCATTTTTTTCCTCCACAGTTCTAAGAATTCCAGTCCAATTCTCTCATTTTTTAATTCTACACAAATATTTGTTTAATTTTCGTAGCACTGGAGCTTGGAGCAAATTTAGTTGCTCTGTTAGTTGGTTTTCCACATTTACGAGTGTATTTTTTAAAAGTATTTCATCTCATTTCTTTTCCAGGATAAGCTGATTACTAGCCAAGCAGTTAAGCAGCAAGCACATAGCGTTGCCACGTGGGAGATCAAATGATATGACCACAGCAGGTCCAAAATACAGCTACAAGGGTATAGCAACCTCTTGGAGAAAATGAATCACTCTCATAGAAAATTCCCTGGGAATGATTTTTAGGAGTGGCAGAGTTAGTGGCTTTGGAGAAAGTCAATCACTTCCCTTCTGTACAGCCAAGGCTGCCAAAGTTCGCCACGAGGCACAACTTGGTACCCTCACGGCAGCAGAGTACGTAGGAAAAGCCATCTGTCAGAGCTACGCGGAGCAGTTACAAAACCGTAAACAAACATGGACAAACTATCACCACCCACGTTACACAAAGCCAGTGATTTAAAGAAAATTCTGCTTTGCTTTCGCCTGGTGGTTGTCACCAAGCACCAGGCAGGGTATTACCGCGTGATTCAGTGCTGAAAATCTCCATTTTCCAAGCACTTTGTTAATTTTAGCTCGTTAATCCTCACAGTACTCTAAAAAGACAAATGGAGTAAGTTAATTTTTAAAACCAGTGAGGCGACAGCAGAAACATTAAGGTTTTTAACTCCAGGTATGCACCTTGAACCAAGCTGTGCTTGATCTCTGAAGGAGTCTCCCTCCGCCGGCACTAACCGGCTTTCGAAGGCACTGCCTTGGAAAAACAGGCTCAACACGGACAAGCAAATGTCAGGAATTATTTTTGAAGACTGTGGTCTTAAGAACGACTCATTCAACTCTACCAAGGCAGACAGAACAGTACCAAACACTGGATGTGAATTTAAGAGTCTCGGCCTCCAAATCCCTGCTCGGATCATTAAATACCCTCTCTTCTTATCTGAAATCTTACCCAATTCCTGAGTGAGTAACGGGACGCAGAACAGTTAAACCCTTTATGATCATCTATTAATTCAAAGTAATGCCATTTTCCCCTGTTTCCATTTGAATCCCATCAGGTGATCGGACACTAAGCACCGAATCCAGTAAACATGCCAGTCCTTCCCACATAGCTTAATTTAGAACTACTTGTTCCCTTTCGGAGTAAAATAAATCTCCCTTAGCTGCTTTTAAGCAGAAAAGCAAACATACTATGTCCCTTTATCCACTAGTGCTTTAGGCATAATACATACTCCAGTAATTTCCTATTATAATGGGATATTTGCACAGGTTCCAAATTTATCCTGGAGGAATGAGGAATCTAGTGAATGGACACATACATTTATCATCTGGAATACTCCAGGTAATGCTGGCCTATGGTATCAAGCCAACAAGCTGAATGATAGCTCTGGTATAATTATGTAATTAATTAGCTCTATCATAATTTTTGGTTTATGACACTAACTTTTATGTGCCAGTAGTCAATTTAATGGCATTTTAAATTAAGCTAAGGCCCCTGAGAGAGATGCTACTTACTGTATCACAAATCTTGCATTCAGATTTCTTTTAATTTCAAAAGATGACCTAATAAAATTGCTTTATAATTAAATCCATTCTAACAACTTCCCCTATGTGATTCTTTTTCTTCTCCCATTTTTAATTACGAAAAAAATCCCAATCAGAAAACACTCGCCACTATAATTTTATACAAAAATCAGCGATCCCTTTTTGTGCCTCCGGCTGCTCTGCTCGCACAGCAGTGCGCCCTGGCTGGCTTTCCTGCGGAATTTTACCAGCATCCCCCAGAGGTGCAGCGAGGAAACTGCACCTTTCACCCTCGAGTTAAATTTGCTTCTATCTGGTTTGAAGAATAGTCGAGGTGTGGGAAGGAAGGGGAGCAAATCCCCACATACTTTCTATTTCAGACACACGTATTCTGGTACCTCCAGCCGTATTTCTCACACGAAGTAAGACGGGCGAAGGGAAGGGAAGGGAAGGGAAGGGTGACCACAGCTCTTCTCCACCCCGTGTGGCAGTGCCACCCTACACGCCACCTCCTATTTCCAGCTAAAAGGCAACCCAGCAGCGAGCACTGTCACCTTCCCTGGGGCTGGGGGGCCATGGTGCCACCCAGGAGCAGTCCTTACCACGCAGATTTTTGGCGCTGTAGCCAAACAATCCTTGTGAAAGTTGTTTTCATGTGCTTTCTTCTACGCAGTGAGCAGCCGGATCCAGCAGGAACGCAATAATACCAGTGGGTGGGTAGAGCTAAACGGCTCCTTTCTGGGGGGATGATTAGTGCATTTAGCTGCATACCCTTACTGCATGCAGTACTTTATCATATGTAAAGCATGGTAAATACAGAACAATACTTCTGCCTCTGAAAGCCTTCACATCATTTTGACCACCGATGCCTGCGAAATGGATGTACTGGAGGTTCCCAAGATGACACAGAACAGTTAAGAAAGCACTTGATAATACTAGATGGTGCAGCCAAGCAGATTAAAAGAATATCACTTCCCTGCAGAAATGATCCTCTTCTGTTCCATTTCTACATTTTAGAAAACATTAAAATAACAGACAGATATGGAGCATAAACAGAACTTAACCAATCTGTACTTGGGTTTCTCACTGAGGCAAGCACAGAATTCTAAAAATAATTGAGTTTTAAAAAGCACCGATATTAGAAGTGAGGTGAAAGTCATGAAATTATTTTCATCTTCCTACCATTTGCTGTGTTCTTTCTGAAGTTATCTAGAAACTCTTCCAGGAGCTGTGACTGGTTTGGAGGGGGCAACAAACTCTTGGGGTCCCTGGAAATGTCGCCATCTGACCAGGATGCACATAAGGGTTGCTGGGTCCCGTAATGGTTCGTTCTCAGAGTGAGCATTACGCTTCTCTCTGAAAACAATAACTCCATCTGCCCGAGGTCAAGATCAGACACAGCCTCTCCATTTATGCTCAGGATTTCATTGCCTACTCGGAGCCCTGGGAGCATGTGAAAGGAAAGAAAAAGGAGAAGAAGAAAAAGAAAAAAAAAAAAGAGGGAATATAAAACGTAAAGAGTCACAAACCAAACCTTATGCTGATTCATCTTTTATTTTTCTGGTTTCAGTTCAAATAGTCTAATCCTACCACAGGCCCATTAGGACAGATGGGAGCTTTCTTTGTGCTGTGACTATGCAGGCAGACCTCATGCTTCCTCTGACGGGTGTTACACATGGTACAGCAATCGAGCTGCTCCTTTCTAAAGCTGCTACAGAATCTGGCGGGCGGGAGGGCAGCACAACTGTCAAGACGACTAGAACAGAGGCCCCTTTCATGACCCAAATGCCACCAGCGTACAGCATCGTAACACGTACATCGTTATCTGGGAAGAACAAGACACCAGGCACAGCTCGAATCATTCCTGCAAAGGAGGAACAGCAGCGGGTGGAACCTGCACCAGCTCTTGCACAACTCTAAACAGTGGCAACTGCTGCCTTTCAAGGTCAGCCACAACCGAGTGGTCACTACCCTCAGGTAGCAAAGGAAACTCTCTGTCTCTGTTTTTCTGGGTTTGTCTCTGTTTTTCAGAGAGCAGGACCGACACGATCCTGCTGTGCCCAGGAGGAGAAGCACGGCTGCTGCGCAGCGCAGCAGACCAGGCGCTCTCGGAAACGGACCCACAAAACCATTTTGGGGAGGGAGGCGACTTTTCATTGCCAGCAAAAGTGGAAGCGATGGGTCTTGGAGACCGACCAAGCCCATGAGGTTCCCCAGTGTGAGATGAACTCTTTCTCCAGCCTGTTCTTCTGTACAAAAGCACTTGGTTGGACGGCTGAACGCAGACTTTGTCTCCAAGGGCAAACAAGAACTCTCCCCACTATATTGAAGGGATAATTCAGTTACTCTGTGTACATTCTCTTTCCTAATACCACATACTTTCCATGGTCTTCAGGAAAGAAAACTATGAAGAAGAAAAGCCAAGAACCATTGCAGACAGCAATACTAAAGCTCCTTCATGTTTTGGGACTTTAAAAAGATAATGAAGCACAGTATTAAATATAAAGCCGATACAATACCTTCCTTGAATGCCAGTCCATCAGGGAGAACATCACTTACAAATATACGGGTGAGATGCTGACTTTCATCAACCTGTGCTGTGACAGCAAAACCTGAAGTAAAAGAGGTTTAAATCACACAAACTTTCTCAGAAATATTTCCCTTTTATTTTGTGTATTTAGAAGACTCTACACAACCAGAGGGAGGATACGTCTGGCGAGAACACACCCACGGAGCACAGAGAAATTATCACATTGTTTCTTAGTCATTGTGAGACCTGTTAAAGCTAACAGGACTTTTCAAACTCCAGGATATGTCATGCTGTGCTGTAAAAAAACCAAACTACATCTCAAAAAAGTATTTTCTACCTCAGCCCCGTATGACATTTCAATAGCACAGCTCATTGTTCAGTCTTCTGCAGCGCGTCCATCAGACAGAGGTGTCTTAAACAGATCCAAAAACTAGAAACCCAAACTATAAAGCAGCAAATTCATTTAGACCATTGAGTGAGACAGCCCAGAAAGAAATAATTTATACTTCCAGACTTGCAGCTAAAGAACAGCACAGAGCTGCCTTACACAGGTATCTTTGCAAGGTACAGAATTATTCCCAGGCATAAGCCTCCCACGGACAAAAAGCCTGTTGGAATTTGATCCAAAGGACACTCTGTTGATACTGTACCACCAGAAGACCCCATTACCAAAGGAAAAAAAAAAAAAGAAAAAGGGCAGACCTTGACCATGGTCTGACTGAGACCGATTGTATTAATCCTGGCAAAAGACGTTTGTCTTCTGACAATTCCACACTGCAGTTGCTTGGCCAGCGCAGCAGAATTAGAAAGCAGACCCTTCCCAAACGGAGACGTAAGAAATGCACTTGCCAGTGTGAAACAACCAGTTTGGGTCTTTGTTATGCCTCGAGTCCTTTGCAGACTCAGATTTTGAGCTATCAAGGATGGCTCTACCTGCTCTCGGAGACAGAAAACTCCTGAAGAGAGAAAGTAAGCAATGAGAAGAATAAAAAGAAAAATTCCTGAGAGCTGTTTTGGTCAAACTTACCAAAATCATTTATGTTTTCAGTCTTTGTAAGATGAACGTGATGAACATTTAATGGACAAATTTCTATTTCATCATACACCTGTTGAAAAAAAAATAATAACAGATGCCATCAAATTATGGAATTGCAAGCATCAAAACCTAAAGGTCCAGCATGGGAAATAAGCATCACATTCTTTGCATCAACGAAGAGTCAAAACTTGCTGCCTTTACCCAGAGAACTGTGTTACTGCGCAAGCATCACTGGTATCAGTGGGACTAAACACGGAGCAAGGTCAGGATAGAAAACTCAGCCTGGAGCAGAGACTGACACTTCTGTACCAGAAGCCTCAGTCAAATCTCCAAATGGTTCTCGAAGAGAGTGTCTGTAGTGCCCAGCTACCCGAACGTCTGCACAGGCACGGGCTGGGTGAACGAGGATGGCAGCATGCAACCCAGGAACAGCTTTAAAACCTTATTTTAGATCTAAATCACACATATTTGTGGGTGATAACTCAACTGCTCTACAGCCATCACAGAGCTTTATCTAAAAGGAGCCACACTTTCCTGGTCTACGATGTATTCGTATGGTTCAGGAGCACAATACTCCGTGTTTTCATCAACAAGTCTTCTGAGCTGTACGCCATAGTGTCTCGGCTCCAGCTGTTTCATCTAAGGAATAAAGAGAACGGGGTTGGAATTTGTTATTTATTTCCAAAATCGCAGAAGACAAAGAAGCGACACACAGGCACAAAAAGCTCTTCAGGAACCATGCAAAAGCAATCCTCAACAAGCCATTTTCTAACTATTTTTGTGGTATAAACAAAGCTAGCTGCATTGCTTAGAAGATAAGGTTCAAGTGCAATTTCCATTTTCCCTTACAATCCTCCCAAATCCTTTCATAAACGTTGTGTCTTGGCTACTGGACTGACTGGGTGCTGCTGTATGTTTTCAAAGACATCACAACTGTTTGCTGTTCTTCTGAACTTACGCTCACAACCGTCTTTTTCTGTGCCTACTTTCAACGACTCAGTTCTGATCAGCAGCTTTTTCCTCTCATGTAGAAAATGTATATGCATGTTAGGAGACAGGATGGGATGTAGGTTCCCTAAGGGTTTGCTTTAACAGGATTTTATTTTGATTGCTGGGATTCATCTACGATCAGAGAGTTTCACCTGTTTTTTTTCACCACGTGAGGTCAAAGCAAAAACACTGTCTCAACAGGAAGCCAAAGGGAAATAGGAATATTCCCAAAGGATATTAGCCTGAAAGTGTCAAGCCCCTGACGGGAGTCTCTCTGAAAATCAGGATGCTGGTGAGACCACTGCACGAAACATTTCATTTTAGCATATTAATAGAGCTACATGTCTAAAACAGGAGGAAGCAGCCTTTCAAAAGCAGGAGGGATGACTGCATCCCTTAGGGTTACTGAACCTCTTTAATGTAGCTCTGCAGCTTACAAAATCTAAATCTGCTGAGTAACTAGTAATTACCTTCACGTTTTATTATATGTAACAGTTTACGAGTTGCATGGGTTCTGTACCCTGAACAATTGTATCCAAATGCACATTTTTTTCTGTATGTGCTGTCCAAAAGCCTCAGATGGAAAACAGAAATGAGAAAAGTATAAGCCCCATAAAGCACGAACGAAGGAAAAAACCCAACAACCCCTTTGAACTTTATCCTTACCCATATAACATTCAAACATGTTCTGTTAAGAAGAAAGATTCCTTACACTCACCAGAGCAGAATGAAAATGTAAGAAGGAAAAGAACCAGGACAGATGAGTAGAAAGTATTCAGCATTAGAGAATGCTTATGAAAAGCTTTACACACAGAATAGGAAGAAAAAATAAAACAGAAAAATGTTTAAGGAAAAAAATCAAATAAAACTAAATTTTCACATGATATAGACATTGAAAAAGTAAAATTCAGCTTTACAATTACAAATATTTTGGAATGATGGAGTAAGAGAGGTAAGGAATTTCCTTTTCAACTTCACTTTACGTTTATAAACTTTATTTCCTCTTTCAGGGGTCTTGCAGGACACTAACCACCGCCACATGCTTCAGCTCCGCCGTGCCATCTGGTGGGCACACACTGTCTCAGACAATCCCTTCAGACTAGTAAAGTGCATTTTAAAAAACTAAAGCCAGGCAATAAACTGTTTCTCCAGAATTCAGTTTCCACCAGCAAAAGCAACGCGGATATAATTTCCTCTCAGTGACGCCATGGAGACACGTTGTGACTTGATTACAGCAGTGTGCTTATTTTGACTTAAAAAACTATAGTTAACCCTAGATTTTTAAAAACTTGAATAATTTTGGTTTGTTTGTTTGTTTACAGCATTACCAGTGGAAAGAGATGTTAAATTGGGTTCTTTCCTCCATAAGAAATCTCAAAATTCATTAACGTCAAGCCAGTTGAACGAGCTCACCTGGAAGTTCATGCTAACCTACGCCCAACGCTACAGCTGGATTTTGTATGGAGCATGACTCCTTTTTTTCCTTTTTTTTTTCCCCCCTTTACTTGTGAAGTAAATAAACAGAGGTTGGGAGTAAAAAGTTCGTTTTTCCAAAAATCTTGTTTGCATAATTTAAGCGACTTGAATCATGAAGTTAGAGCTAAATTCAGGCACTGGCACACGTGGAGCCAAAGGCACTAGGTCCGCTGCAATGTTCTAGAGGTGCTGCTCTTTTCTCTGGAGGTGCAACTGGTATTTCTGCTATAACTTCAACCTGTCTCGGTTTTCTGTCCCAAGATCTATAGCAATCCCTCTCAAATTGCTGGTACTGACTTTCAGAAGGGAATGTACTCCGAGATTCACAGGCACGGCTGGTATCTAATGAAAAAGACCCTTTAGGAAGCAAGCACACACGAGAGCCCCCGTCACAGCAGTGGTAAACGTCCTGGTCTCCTGGCATAACTCAACCAAGTCACCCCGTTACTCCCCCGTGGTTAACTTGCACAGCACCACTGGGTTCGTTTCAACAACAAAGAGCGGACGTGTGCTGGGATTCCTCAGGGGCTGACTGCCTGGCAAACTGTCACCGCTCTCCCAGTGCTCACCGTGCGCTGTCTCGAGCAACGCTCCTCCAAAACCTTCCCGCAAGCCCGCTACCTTGGCCACAACACATAAATAACACGGCTACAGGAAACGGCCACGTGCCTCAGCAGAGCGGCAGGGAGATGCCAGTAACATGCTCCCACTATTCGGGCATCCTCTGACACATCACGCTCCTTCTCAAGCCCCAGGTGAAGGCGCGGTGGCCCAGGAGGAAGGAGGAGTACCTTGCACGCCAGCGACAAAACATCTTCCACCCTGTGCTCTGGCTTGAGGGTCAGCGCCACTCCTTGGCCGTCACAGAAGTGAACGTACGTCGGTGTCTCCCAAGCACTCTCCTTCTGGATGCTCTCTGGCACTGAGCAGTAGACATTCGAAAAGTCATCGACGTGCTGCTGGAAACAAAAGGAGAAACACGCAACATACGTGGCTGTTGCAAAACCCCCGTGAGTACAGTCGCACTGGCGGTTTGCAGAGGGTACGTGTTCAGACACGGTGCGGTGGACTTCCCCACGGCAAGACAGGGACCAAGCTCTGCTACCTGCTCGCATTTGTATCGAGGACTTGATTTTCTGGAGAACGGACTGCACTTCCTCTGCACTCCCATTACGCTTTTACACCTTTATCTCATATTGCTGTGATAGGACAAGGGGTAATGGGTTTAAAATAGAGGGAGGTAGATTCAGGTTGGATATTAGGGAAAAATTTTTTACCATGAGAGTTGTAGAACACTGGAACAGGTTGCCCAGAGAGGTGGTGGATGCTCCATCCCTGGAGACGTTCAAGGCCAGGTTGGACGAGGCCCTGAGCAACCTGATCTAGTTGGAGATATCCCTGTTCCTTGCAGGGGGGTTGGACTAGATGACCTTTGAAGGTCCCTTCCAGCCCTAACCATTCTATGATTCTATGATTCTATTAACTGTTGATGTAACTCAAAGAGACAATACGTAGCTGCCTAATATTATATCACAGTGGGAATAAATTCTTAAGAACAACCGACTACTACAATTTTACCTAATTAACAAATAAAGTAATAAATAAATGGAACAGAATTACTGTAATTTTGACAGAAAATGATAACATCGGAAACTTCCAGCAGAGAGCACTGTGGAGCAAGGCTTGCCATAACACACGAAAGGACTAAAGCAGGAAAAAAGTGTTCCTACTCTATTTACAGTTTCAGAACATATTGTTTCATAGGCAGCACACGGTATTTGCCTGTTTACCATTTTGCTTCACATCCACCCTCGTTCCAAAGCCACCCTGCTCGATCAAGTAACAACATCCACCTGAACAAATTCTTTGTCGTTTTCTCACCCTTCACTGTCACGCTCTCTCCTGTGTTGCAATCAGGCTGCACGTTTCATAGAAACCACACCAGAAGAACACCACCACTGAGAGCTATTCAGAATGAGGAGTTTCACCTACATATTCGAGTCTACCTATTCTACTATTACTACTATTACCTATTACTATTACTACCATTACCTAGTACTATTACCTATTGCTATTAATTAATTACTATTACCTATTACTACTACTAAGTGTTCAAGGCCAGGTTGGATGAGGCTTTGGGCAACCTGGTGTAGTGGAGGATGTCCCTGCCCATGGCAGGGGGGTTGGAACTGGATGATCTTTGAGGTCCCTTCCACCCCAAACCACTCTATGATTCTATTCAGCACGTCACTTCAAAATCCACATCAAGGCATGTAAAGTCAGGCAGACAGGGTCCCTCGATTGCCCTTACAGTCAATGGAAAGGGACAACAACCCCCCACGTGGCAGAACTGCTACCCAAGACATATCTTAAGATATCCTGAGCTGTTCTCAGGAGTGCCTACCTCTCTAATGCTTTTTCTTGGGTTTTTTCTTTGCTGGTTGGTTGGTTGGTTGGTTGGGATGGGGTGTTTTGTTGCCTGCATAAAGCCCCTTGATTATGCAATTCTTCCTCCTGGCTCTGCAGGGACAGAAGCCCAGGGGTGCACTGCAATTAAAAGCTGCAGCAAAATCACTGCACAGGGACTGCTTCCCTTGCTGCAGGCAGCAAACTTACTGACAACAATCCACTAGTAGCAACAGAGAGATATTACTGTGTTTTTCCAAATAACAACTGTGGCTGGGAAAATGAGGTAGTAAGCAATCCCACCCAGGTAATTACCAAACAATGCTGAAATTCAGGTTGCAGCTGACTCATAATTTGATGCCAGAGTAACACTGGTTTGGGGTTAGGGTTAGGGTTCATATTAATGAATTAATGGCATTCATGAATCTTACATTTCTTGCTCAACTGTCCCATTTAACCAGTTGAAAATGAAATTTCAATTAACAGAGGTCCATGGAAATCCTACTAAAATCCAGCAACTGCTACACATAACAGGAATCCTGTTATGCTACTGCAATTAATGGAGTGAAGAAATGTACACCAGGTGACGTCTCACCTCGGTGGCTGTGGTTCCCGACTGCTCATAAACCTGCTATTGTTGAAGAAGATAATTCCCATAGAAGCGTGGTCCTCTCAGAAAGCACTAAATCAAGTGCCTGGGAATAAAAGCTGACCTCCTTCTACGGCGTAAATAACAGAAAGGAGAAAGGGCAAGGCAAGCAGGCTGCAAGAGCCGAGGAGCCAGACCGAACTCTCCGGTGGCTTCCTGCAGGGAAAACTGAAGCTCCGTTGCCTCAGCTCGGGAGATGTGGAACTACCACAGCGGTTCATGGCACTGCAACAACAGTTCTTCCAATTGAGGCCAACAGAAACAAACCTCACTATTGCCAGGGATAAAAACAAACCCAACCCAAAACAGAGGATGGAGGTGATGAGAAATAGGTTTAAGGCCACCTTCTTCCAGGAGCTGTTAAGACAGGACAGAGAGTGCTGCAGCCACTGTAAGATGCCTTCCTTTCCGTGCCACGTACACGGGTACTCAAGCACATGCCCCAGATAAACTCGCCTGTTATTAAACACGACTGTGTTCCTTAACTGCAGTCAAGGTACTGCTGCTTCATCCACATTTTCCAACTCAGAAAATCTGACATGAAAAGAGATTTTTTTTTCCCTGTTATGCTTGCAGTGACTAATTCTACAATAGTTCATTCATTCATTGCCACATAAAGTTATAACAACCCATCCAATTTTCCAGAAATAGGTGCCAGGATTTGCAGACTGCCACATGTCGTGCCACAGGGCTGCTGCAGGACCAGTAGGTTACTTCATAATTTCCCCCCACTATTTGCCTCTGTTTTTACCATCCTTTTCAGGGAAAACACAGCCTCCCTGGCAGACTTCACTATTCGTCATTCCCTGAACTCCTCAGGTAGCATTTTATAAAAGTTTTGATGCTGTTTTTGTTTTTCGTTTGAAATCAGCCAATGAAAGTGGGCTGATGCCAAAGTAACGGTTTTTGGAGTTATGATGAATCATTTCTGAGTTGTTCTATGATTCATCAGAATGTCAGGATCTTAAAAATGCCACACTATATTTAATTCCCACTTAAAAAAAGGTTTTAGAAAAACGGTTGAGATAATAATAATGTTTTTCCAGAAATAAGGTCGAGCTCTGCTTCAGCATCTAAAACAGGGTGGGCTTTTCCATCTTGAAACACAACTCTTTAAGCTTTGTGAAAGCTTGGCCCAAAATCTGCAGCGACGCTGCCCCCCCCGTTGGTGCCCTCTACCCAGGGAGTGGGGGCTGCGAGTCCTTGCTCGGAGCAGGAATTCCGAGCAGGCTGCTTTTCATCCAGCAGCTCTGGAGAACACACAAACCCTGTTGCGAGAGCTGGGTCAAGAAGCCAGACCTCATCCCTTCTCCAACACAGCACCAAAGGGAGAGGACTTCGTTCTGCCTGCTCCTTGGCCCCTTCAAAACCTTGCTCTGCCTCCTCAAAAGGGCTCGGGAAGAGCAAACGCGCCTGTGATGCCAGAGGACAGGAGACCCGGAGCAGACCCGTCACGCAAGGCAGCACCGTTGATCGCCCAGCCCTGAGGGGTCAGTGCTAAACTGAGGGACTGGTGTCACAGCCCTTCAGGAGAAACCTTCAGGGCGTGTGCCCAAGAGATTCTGCCTTCTCTCAGGTTTAAGGGGGACAAAAACTTTCCATGCTCTAACAGAACAGGACAGGAACGAACTGTGTCTGCCGTCTCGGAGGTGGGAAATGGATGCCGTCTCACACCACATCTGACGGTACTTTCTGGAGGAATCTGTGTTTTCTACAGGAGATTAGGTCACTTGGAAATCTCTCATAAGTATAATTTATTTTGAAATGAGGAATGATTTAGTTTAAATACTTCCCCACCTCAGGACATAACAAGCAAGTGGCCAAGTAACCAAGGGAATTCAGGAGCTTCAACGCACTTCTTCAAAGCACAGGCAGAACCTGAAGTCCTTTCAGGAGGAAACGGCATTACAGGATCAGCTGCTGTCAGCGCGAGGTGCCTCTCTCAGTGGTACAACCTCCGCATAATTATGGATTTCTTTCTTACCTAGCCATTACAGGAATGCACTCGATGAGAACACGTGTAGCACATAATGATACAAAAACCAACACAAAACCCTATGAGAAATGATGAACTTTGTCCAAACCTTCCTCACGAGATTCCTTACAGCTCTTCATTATAGTTAATTATTTTGAACAGCAATATTTCATTTTAAACGCAAATTTTGACTTTCTGTCTAATAACTGGTACACGAACTCAGCTGAAAGGGAACAGTACTGTAGTACGACTCTTCCAAAGTCTTCTTGCAAGTTTTAAACTGCATCGGAGGAACATCTGGTTCAGGGAACAAAGGAGAAAAAGGGACGGGGGTAGATGGGAAGACAAATGCTCCTTCGAGCCTGGCACATGTTGCCATGAAAGAAATCCAGCTATACTGTACAGAAAACAAAGTCCAGAATCCCCATGCCTAAGACTTAATTTGAAGTTTTTTATTTGGAGCCTGCCCAAGGAGAAGCATCCTGCCCGTGTAACCCGCAACACGGACAACCCTCCCTGCTCCCACGGGTATGTGATCGCGGGTTCCGGAGCACCCGGCTTCGCTTCCACACCAGGGGACGGCGACGTTATCCCCTGGGAGGCTGCGGGGGCTGAGAGGGACCGTGACTGGTGCCAGGCAGGGGTGGGCACCCGCGAACACCAGCCGCAGCTGCTGCCGAGTAACGCCATGGGGGGGGCGCCGCTTCCTCCTCCTTCGCTTGGGCGACCTCCCGCCGTGCACCAGCTCACGGCCCTGCTGGTGGGCTCCACAGACTGTGAGCAGCCTTTATGTGCCTTTTTACTCAAAATACACGGGTTCTGTCCGAGCAGGCAAAGGGGAACAAACACACCTTGGGTTTTGCCGTACTGGGAAGGATGCTCCCAGACGAGCTCAGCTCCATACCTCTCTCAGACAGTGTATACGCTCGAAGGATCAGTGCTGTGAAGAAGCTTCTAGGGATTTTTTTTTTTTAAATTATGATTATTTCCTAAAAAAAAGGCTACTATGCATGTTCAGAAATTTATGTGAAAGTGGTTTCATTAGCAGGATTATAACCCTGCCGTCTAACACTGACTGCATGTTATGAGCCTCTGTGGGGTTTCTGAATCAGCCGCCTCATCCACTTAGGGAAATATGTTCAGGAATTTAAAAGCAAGATGGTGCAGAATGAGGACAGGCATATCTTACCTCAGCAGAGTTGGCGGAATTCTGGGCACCAGCAAATCCATGTCCTCCAGCTGAATCAAAAATCTATTAAAATATTACAGATAAATACATAGGTTAAATAAATAAAACCCTTTATTTCTTACCTGTGTTAGCTAAGTTCTTTTTTAAAAAAGGAAATCAAATGAATAAATGTATTTTAACCTGCTAAACCCCAGAGATATTTTTGTACTTTTAATCGCTTTGTTCTGACTAGAAGTATCAAAGAAATAACAAATCTCCCTAGACAAAGAAAATTTAAGCAAGTTTTCTCTTTCAGGCTACACGCAGACTCACTGTCAAATACGTATAAAAGCGTTCATGTCCTTTTGGTTTTCTCCTATCTACTGTTTAGCAGTAAAGTCATTTACCTCCAAATCATGCACTAAATCAAAATTGCAAAAATTATAAATTTTCCTTTTCCTTCAGGATACTGTTAGGTATGGCTAAAAATCTCACAGTGATTTAAAGGAACTATTTCATATAATTGTTGCTGTTTCCTAAACTTCTTGCCCAACAGTTTGACATCTCTTCCAGCCAAGCAGTTTATCTCCCACTATCGATAGAAACTTCCAGCTTAGCTTTAAAGGCAAACTTGACCCCAAACCCGCACTACTCAGTGATGACAACAGCTGACTACTGTGTCTGCTTTGGAAGTGATGAAAGAGGAAACTGAGACTTTACGTTCCCCATCTGTTTGAAAGCTTAACTACTAGTATCTCACAAAGGTGTTGGGCTTATTAACGAATTTTTTTTAAAAAATCCAATAAACAGCTATAGATACAATCAGATATTTTGGTGATAACAGTTGTGTAAACACATGGATAGACCTGTACAGTTTATAAACGATGTTGAGACTTGCAGGTAATAACATTACCCTTCCGAAGTGCAAATATAAATAGCATTTTCCTAACTCCTTCAGCAGTCGACAAATCAGGACGATACCAAACTTACATTTAAGACTTTTTTGTTTACGTTTTGTTTTGCTTTGCTTTTTTTTTTTTTTGTACTAGCAAAAGCCTTTCAGATAATCCAACACAACAACAAACTCTCTCTTCGAATTTCATACGAAATCCAGTTTCTGCCCATGCAAATAAAGGGCACCACTTCTGAACTTCCTCCTCCTTGTCTCACCCAGACATGTAATTGAAGTATTTTATTGTTTATGATTTCTCAAAACAGTTTATCATCTAGATACAAGAAAGGAGATAAGCATTTAAGAAACTGAGGATAATGTGAGCCTAGACATCCTCCATCTGCTACTGATTTGTAAAAGACTGAGCCACTCGTTAATGTTTACAAAAGCCTCCCAGCAGAGAAACTCTGAACCTTTTTTTCTATCGATACCATAAAATCAAACTTAAGATAAAATTAAAAACTTTTCCGACACAGCAACATTCAAGAATATACCATCTAATTTTGAAGCTAGGGTATGGCAGATTAAAAGATGCCAGTGCAGTCAAATGAACTTCAATTCAATCCAAAGCAAGACATTTTTAACCTATTTTTTGACACAGGCATGGCAGCACTACGAGCAGAGAGGCAAGCTCCCCTTCTCTGCTTAACCTACTTTCCCAGTGGGCTGAAAAGGACGACAAGAAAGGTGGCCTCAGGCCTCTTCTGATTTTGATACACAATTATGGGCACACACACAATCTGAGCAAGGACGTGGCTCCCTTTTCAGTCACCTTCTAGGTTCACGTGTCACTTTCCAAGCCATGCCCTTAAAAATTCCTCACTTTTATGGGGGTGAGTCATAGCCCGGTGTTATTCATATGCAACACTCAGCATTTCCTTAACTTTATTGTAGGGTGTTCAATAATAATAATAAAGAAATAAAAATCAAGAACCTCAGCTCGTGGATGAAAATAAACACTTTTTCGGGCCAGCTGGTTGAGTGGTTTGGAATAAGGAGGGAGACGACGTGCAGGGGGCACCTCCGTCTGTGCCAGGGCTCCCCGCTCCGCACCCAGAAAAGCACTGGGAGGGCAGCAGGAGCCTCCTCTCCTTGCCATGGAAACAAGATTCCCTGTCGCTGAGCTCTGCAGAAGCCCCTTCCCGGGCTGTAAAGCGCACGGCAGGACGCATCACCCGGTGAAGACGGTGCGAGGCACCGGCCCCGCTGGGAACGTTGTGCTCAACAGCCCTCCCCTCGGGGTTCGGTTACTAACAACGAAACAGAGGTACAGGACTCGCAGACCAACCTCACCTGCTGGGCAACCCCCGGGAAATTACGTGAAAAGGACAACCTGGTGAAAATCTCTCCTCCAGTTGCCTCTTTCACAAGACAGACCTGAGCCTTGAGCTTTATTCTCACTCAATTTCACCGGGTACACACACCTCGACTGACACGCTAACATGCGTAAGAGCCACCCAAAGCAGCTTAGTCCTTGTGGAACACACAGAAAAATACTGACTTACTAAAAACACAAACCACAAGACCAGAAAATCCTAATGCGTTATTTTGGAACAGGAAATGTGTTTCATCAGCTGTGGGACTACTGCAGCACGCGTACGGATGGGCTCGTCTCAGTGTCCCCCACGCAGGCTGCCGGACACGTAACAACAGCTGATTTTCAAGCGCTGATCACAGCAGGAACAAAATCACCTACTGAACGGTGCCCACAGCACTGCTTTGCAGGAGAAACAGCAGACTCGGAAGAGGTCAGTGAGAACAGTAATGTTCTGAGCGTGGGTGCCCCTCATGCCTTCGGCCTCATCGTCAAGGATACGACTCTGCTGTTATTTACCTGCTCGTCAGGGAGAAGCAGCGAACTTTTTTTTCACATTTCATTGTGTTTTTGTTGAGAAAAGACAGACTCCTGAAGTGGTGGGTTACACTAAATGTGTGCATGAGCCATGAGCTTCACAAAAAGAAACGACCCCATGAGATGCTGTGGCTCCACTGGCAGTAAGGCAGCCCTTCAGCGGGGGCACGCAGCCCCACAGCCCCTCTCCCTGGGGCCAGCCTGCCCCAGCACACCACACCTGAGCCAAACCTTCAGCTGGGGTACACTGGCACGGCTTTATCCGCCAGCTGCCTGCGTCCACAGCTGGCCTCCTGCGTGACAGCAGTCTTCTCCTGTTGGCTAAAATGCACTTCCAAGCAGGGCGTGCTGCTCTGCCAGGCAATGCCAAGGACGGCTGCCTTTGCAGCAGTCTTTCTTCTCTTGCCCTTGAAGACTCCCCGTGCTACTCTACATGAAATAGCAGTAGTAAGTCAGAGTCCCAGTCACGAGCCAGCGCGACACCGCTAAGGACTGTGCGTGCAGGCCACCTCCAGAGAAACCCTACTTGCACGGTTTGCAATGTGCCAGAAGGCAGTTTTGTTACAAATTCAAACCTGATGGTCTCGTGCTGCTGATAACAAACTAACCCACTGGGTCAAAACCTCTCGTTCACCAACCTCACTTACCACACAGAAACCCAAAATCAGATATATACTCCTCACAAGTGATGCTCCCATTGCAAGTCTGCCATGTCCACTGAAACCTTGAACACAAGCGTGATGGACAGACGTCTCCTACCCCGCGCACCAACAGCACCTCGCAGGATGCGCCCGCCAGAAACAAGCCCTGCTATGCTATCCCAGCAAACAAGATCTACCTGAGTTATGGAAGGCCGCTTTTCTTTTCCTTTTCTTGCCAACGTGTCCAGTCCTTTCAGCGAGGAAAATAAACCCTTCTTGTTTCGGACTCTTTGTGACAGAGACAGGGTACGTTTCCTGAGAGCAGCTTCATCCCTGGAGCAGATCTATTTAAACACAGAGACAGGCCTTCCTATATCACTTTTGTAAGAGTAAAATATTGACAGTTATTTCAACTTGAGGCATCAAATGAGAGTTACTTCAGTTCACCTCAATGTAACGTGCCAAGGTGCAAGGACAGTGCTTTAAACTTTCGGCGGTGATGCTTGTTTCGGTATCGCAATGGTATGACAGTGTGATTTTTTTTGTCATGGGGCAAAATTAGAAGGTCATAGGAAGGGAGGAACTGGGAAAATATTGGTCTGCACAACAAAAGAAGTTAATGAAAAGACTCCAAAGAAGAATGATAACCTATCATTCAGATATGAAATTGCTAGAGGAGAAAGACTCTCAGAATTGCCAAACATAGGAGATAAATGTGCTATGGCATTGAGTTATTAACAAGCAATGGCATAAACCACACAGATAAAAACAGTGGCAGAGAGAAACACATCCCCTGATGGCACTTTCAGGACTACTATTCAGACTGACTTCTGCAGCAAACGTGGCCCACCCTTCTCTACCAAGACCAGCCTTACAGCCCTGCCAAGGCTAAAGAGCAGAGGAAAACCTGCTGCTGCCATACTTCACTTAAAGCTGGCAGGGTGACAACGGCTTTCAGCACCTGAGGATGTCCCTCATTCTTCTTCACAGGTCCCAGTTCTTAAAAAGTGACTTATAATTTTGGATTCTCTCTCGTTTTAGCCCATTCTAAAAATACCTCCACTTCAGCAGGGTATCAAATTGTTTCTGAAAAATAGAGCCATCAAGGAGCTCAGCCCAGAGGTATCCTGAAGCACTCAGAAATGTCACTCTTTTCACTCTAAGTGACTTAGCTCCTAAACACTTTAAACTCTGAACTCAGTGGAGGTAAAATCACAGTGACAAAATTTCGACACAGTGACTCATTTACATCTGAAGAGTATTTCGGTTTGTTTCTTTTTCAGATATAGGTCAGAAGTACCCAATTATGGAGTCCTCAGGGACCAAAAAAAGTCATAGTCATGTCGCCATAGTTTCAAAGTCTGTGTCTGCTGAAGAAATTTTGGTTTTTTGCAGTCAAGGAACAGGCAGAATGGGTGAGAAGAGAACAGGGCTGCCTGAGCCAATGCATGTGGGTGCAGCCATGTACTATCCCAGCACAATTCCACATCTAAATGCCACATTAACGATGGCTTTGTGTAACGCACCCATGAAAAGCGCATTCAGACTCACCAGTGCATGGAAGGATGAGACGGAGAAAATACCGAGCCGCCCCAGAGCCAGTTTTGAAGGACGACTGGCAGCAGCCAAAAGGCTCTTTGGGTTTGGGAGCTCCCCACCTTGCAAACTGGCTAGGTAACACCGCATTCGGAAAAGGTCCATGTTAAATTTTTCCAGGTTCTGCTCCCATTGCTGGATCTGTTTAGATATAAAAAGGGACAATTAGAAGGGGAAAAATGTCTTTGTGGGCTGCACTGAAAATTCGAGCTCTTCCACAAACCCATAGTAAATTACTTTCATCTGGTGGTATATGGATTAGATTAGTTATTCCCTGCCAAAACACATTCAGTCATATTGTGTTACATCAACCCAAAAGATGGCTTGAAATAAAACAAAGCTGGTGGTCTTAAATGCATACTGACAAGATGAACATACCCTGAACTTCGGGTAGTTTGATAGCCACAAAAGCAGTTACACAAAAACACGGCCCTGTGGTTCACTAAGGCTTTCCTCCCCCCTCCCTTCTCTCTCTCTCTCTCTTTTTTGGAGATCAGTTTTGTTTCCTTCATGTTTATGAGCTTAGGTTGTATAGCTGGCTGCCCGGAAGCCAAGCTACACCAGTGCACCACACCAAGTGACGCAGCTACGCTGACAGGTCCTGCTCACTCTTTGCTATCGTCCTACGGCCCCTCTGCCTGTAAACAGGAGACAACACTGGCAGCAGAAGCACGTGCAGTTCTTTGTCTGGCTAATAGGTTAACACATGCTTACACTCAGGCAAACTGCAAAAATGAGCTATATATGCCCAATACAAACCCCTGGACCAAAAGCAAGAACATCTACATAGCCTTCATGCAATTTTCATGCATATCTAACACAGGGATATGCAGGCGCCACAGGTGGCTTAATCCAGTTCCAACGTAAAATTCGGAAAGAAAAGAGATTCAAACGTTTGCTAGACAAAGTTCTGAATCAAGACTCAGATGACAGATTCTAAGTATCTATGTAGATACACACTCATCTACACAAACACATACTCTCATGCACTGCACAACAGTCAAAGTTCGCTTTTCATTCCCCCAACTTACAGGCTGGCAGTTGCAGCCAAAATCTGCCTGACAGGGTACAACAGCCATTAATACTGATAAACACCACCAATAAAAAGGCAGCTGTGTTTAACAGAGTAGGCACATTCGCACATGGGAAAGCAGAAAAAAGCATGTCCAATAGGTCACCATCCCTGTTCATGTACTGAAGATTGTTACAATCCCCTGACAATGCTGATCTTCCAACGTCAGCTCCAATCACTGCATGTTGGTCATTCAAGAGGTGGTGTAGGACTGCAGGGAAAGTTCATCACGTTTTCTCTAATGTGCATGGACTTCACACCTTCACCGGCACACCCTGCCTGTCCCTGCCGTACAGGACACCACCACCTTCCACTGACATCAGCCAAGGTCGGGGCAAGCACCTTTGTGACTCAGAACACCGGCTGATAAACGTAATAAAAATCTCGTGTGAACTATGAGCTTCGGGCTCATCTAGAAGCAAAATCAGGTCAGTTTCCTTATAACGCTGCCAAATACCACAAGAACTAACCAAGAAACTTGCCTCTTACTTTCAACAATGAAGAAGTGAGCAATGAATGGGTGAGAAAGGCCCTGCTAACAAAAAGGTGCTGAGGCTTGTACTACAGCTGAGACATCACCCGTTCTGGCTTCCTGACACGTGTGCTCACAAACTGGGGCACCAGCCGTGGCTATGCTTTTGGAAGTGAGAGGTAATCTCATTTGGCAGGGAGGATGAATAAAGGGAAGACAATACACCATCTTGACATCTGCAAATGCAAAGTTATTATTTACAGTACACATTAAAAAAAAAAAAAAAATCTTACAAAAGCTTATCAGGAAAGCAATTCACAAAAGTCCAGAGAAAAAGGACCGAGATATACACATAACGAAGACGCCTCATCTAATCTCTCACCACAGACATTCAACACGTGTATCCTGTGTGCCTCAGAAAGAATAAGCATTTTCTTCTTGGGTTTATTTGATCGTTGCCCTTTACTTTGCATTCCTTGTGCTCTCCGACACCCCTCACAGAGCATTTCTCTGCTTGCCAGCGTTTTACGCACGGGACGACTCCAACAGGAGTTTCTGTGCCGAGCTCTTTCTCTGGGTCGACACCCAACCAGCATGAAAAAATGGCTGTCGGCTTTTCACAAAGCCAAAAGCTACAAGCTCAGGTGAAGTCCTTCCCTTTGGGATGACACCTCCGTGGGTACAGAGCCAAGCTAACTTTGAATAGCTCGGGAACAGAGCAAGGCTTGTTCTGGGCGCTGCTGGAGCGGAGCATCCTGTCCCCATCGAGCACGAGCTGAACACAGGCATCCTTGTGTTTCTGAGGCCTTCTTCAAAATCCCCACTGAACATTTCTACTGAGTCGTATTTTAAATTAAAGATAATCTAAGAAGGGGGAGTGGGGTACAACACGAGGACATTCGGAAGAAATAATTAAATTACAGTATTTATCGGTCACACAGGATGCCAGCTAATCAGCTCCAAAAGCATCCGTAATCACGATGTCACATTTAATGGCATTAGCAAAAGCTGTAGGCAGGGAATTTCTGGAATCGTCTTGTAGTCTTATCAAAACCAAGGATGTCTGGAACCAATTGGAGACCACGAACCAATACCAGCTGCTATTTGTCTAAGCCTTTTAAACTATGATAAGTCTTCCTAAAGATTTATATTCTTGAAGACTAAATGGAGGAAGCACACAAATAAAAAAGCCACAACTTCAAAGCACAGTACGACCCGGTCCATGAAGTTAATTTACAGCCTGCAGACTAGCTGCTGTGATCCTTTCTCTGCTATTGTGTGAGGCCAAGCTCTGCCCCACGTGGGAGGACTGCTCGGAAGACGGCTCAAGGGCGTCACTTCATCAGGCACAGATGAAACGGCCCTTCTGAAATCTGCCTGAAAGCAAACGGGGGGAAATGGATACACCAGCCAGCCCTGAGAGCGGGAACGGGTGACAGAGGCCAAGGGCAGCACGAAGCCAGCCCGTACAGAGACCGGAGACACGGCCCGAGCGGGGCACGCCGAAACAAGCAAGCGTGCGTGAA